GGCTTGCATGGAGTGTGGATGGGCCATCAGGAAGCGCTGACCGCTATTGTTGATGGGATGAATCAGGGCCACAGAATGAAGTTGCAAAGTATCCCATAATACCCCTCACCCAATAAGGCAAAGACCACTCCGTAAAGGAAAATGAGATTTATTTATCTCACAGCAAACAAACTTTTTGCAGTTTTTTTGAAAATGAAGTTTAACACAAATGATAAAAATAACTTTTTTACATTTAAAACCGAAAACACATCGTTTGTGAAGATTTTCTTTTTTGTATTAAGCGTTATATTGGAGTGAAGTGATGTGCCGCTTCATAACCTTGTGACCCGCTATCCATACAGTGGAAGCTTCCAACTATCTGCCTCAAGCACTTCTCCAGAAAATGGAACTCGGCCTAATTAGTGGACTCTTCTTGAGGGTACCTTACTAACCCTTTTGAGACCAGGGGCCACTGAGGCCTAGCTACCCGGACCAAATCTAGCAGTGCCCCTTAACTATAACTTAGTTGGGTCAGAGAACTAGAGGTGTGCACAAGGATGCTTTTCTAGTTCTAAGCTTTCTCAAAGCAAGGGGCAATGTGTGTGTGTGTGTGGACTTCAACAAGGTATACTGGGGTCACAAAGTGGTGAAGGGGCCTAGATAGCCAAGAGAACGTTGACTGGCAATGGTTAGACAAGTCAATAGTCTTAACGTTTGTAGAGTCACTTCCAGAATTTTCTTGGCCTACCTATACAGGGAGGAAGCTGTGGGAGATTCCATGACCGATTGACAAGCTGCTGCTCAGGTTCTTCTTTCCTCTCTAGATCAAAATGTTATCTCGTCACTAGGGATGCACCATTACCGGTTTCTCAATATTGAGTACCGATATTTTTTGACATTTTTTTGGTACTCACCGATACCGGGTACCAGTGCATTGTGCCCCGAATATCAGGAAGTCGGGCGGTGGATAATGACCTGTCGCCCGGCTTCCTGATTGCCTGTGAAGCCGGTGTTCTAGCAAAAGAACACCAGTTTCAAGGCTGACTGACCAATCAGGAAGAAAGGCGGCGAGTCATGACGGGCCGCCTGGCTTCCTGATTGGCTAGGAAGCCGCCTTCACTTGTTTCCAGGCAGCGTGGCTTCCTGACCAATCGGGAAGCGGGTCATTACGTGATGCCCTGCTTCCTGATTGAAGAAGCCAGGCTGCTTAGCAACATGTGAAGCAGGCTTCATAGCCAATCAGGAAGCTGGGAGACGAGTCATAACCCACCGCAAATCTTCCTGATTGGAAAGGAAGCTGGCTTCATGCTCCCTCGGCACTGAGTACCAGAGCAATTAGGCGAGTGCGAGTACTTGCCCAAATACTCGGTATCGGCACTGATACTAGTATCGGTATATCCTTACTTTTCACCCAACAAAACTTGCCCGTTTGCAGAGTGATCCAGTCATGATAACATGTTTAACATCAGCACCCAGAAGTCAGTGTAAACTTATTATTTTACTATGTGTGCACACATTGTAATATCACAGGAACAGGAAGTGGTTACATACATAACAAGGAAACAAAACACTGCTCACAATGCAGGGGGTCACCTGCAGGAGGCACAACTGAGCTCAGCCAAAACTAGAAAAAGCAGACAAGCAGCAAAGAAAACTCCTCACGGGTCAAGCTAGCAGAGAAAAAGTGCAACAAGAAAACTGGACGGAACAACTGTGAGAAGTGTCGGGGAATAAAATCATAGTGCGCAGGGATACATGTTCACAATTTTAAAAACGTAAATAGTCTTCATCAGGATCTCCAATCATTAAAAAAGAATCGATAATGCGCAGCCATGAACGCGGAAACAAAAGCGGAGCAGTTGCCTCTTGTAATCAGAAGTCCGTTTGGGTTCTCCGGAAAAAGTAAAGAACACGAGGCTCAAATCACTAAAAGCTAGAATGTGTGTTATCGGCTTTACAGGGTATTTCCACTTTTGCAGCCAAACTGGGATAACACCCATTTTATACTGGTGACATATTTCTTGGATAACACCCATTTTATACTGGTGACATATTTCTGGGATAACACCCATTTTATACTGGTCACATGTTCCCATTCACATTGCATAACCTTAAAAAAAATTTAAATTAAAAATTGCTGCTTACATTTTACATGGTGAAAAATCCTACTTAGCTTCTCCTTCTCTGTACTCTTTATGAGGGGGATGGGGAGTTATGTCTGCCAGAAATAACCCTGTCTGTGCTGGCAGATATCACTTTCTATGATATCAATTGCTACATGAATGGGAACAGGCACACACACACACGTGTAGGTGTGTTTGGGGGGGGTTCTCAAACTTGACTGCAAAGGTGGAAATACACTTCCAGTGAATGGAGCCTGTGGTTCCTACAGAGGAGCCCTCCGCTGTTCAATCGCCTCCTGTACAGAAAAAAGATTGTCTGCTTCCACCGTGCACACAGGGCCCCCAGGCCACCACCGCACAGGCATGCGCCCGATCCATGTACCTAAGGAGCAAGCTGTGTAAAACCCGACAGACAAGGATGGCAGATGAAGAGATTTCTAGTAACAGCGTTAGACATTGGTGGAGAAAACAAAAAGTGGTGCCAAGTGCAAACCACGCAGCAAGCGCCGCCATCCTGAGCAAAATGAAATGTTATATCTTCTTGGTTGGTGCAGTGCCATTGAGGCCGAAAAATGAAGCTCACAAAACAATATACCCGACAAAGGAGCAGAAAACAGTCTGCCTGACTAAACAAGGCCACACAAAGTATCTGCATTATAAGTGACCCAAACAATCCAACAACAAAAATCCCGCAAACAGGGAAATTCTCCTCGAGGGGCATGAAGATCTCTGCGTGAGTCGTCCAGTCAGTGACTCTCTTAAAGGAGAACTATGGCATCAGTGCTTTTCCCCATAGTTCTCCTTAGGGTAACGGCAGGACACAAACTAGCGTCCTCCCGTTACCCTAAGCTCAGTATATAGCGAGCTACATCTCGCGGTATACTGAGACGCCGCAGCCGGAACAGATCCCGACAATTGTGCCGGGATCCGCCCAGCTGCGTGAGTGACAGTTGGCTCAGCCTATCTAGAGGCAGAGCCAGCTGTACCCGCCCCCTCCCCCGTCCGTCCCGCCAGTCAGCGCTGGAGGATCGGAGCGGGGAGGGCGGAATCCAGCCCCTCCCCTGTCACAGCAGAGAGCCGTGACAGGATCGAGAGGTGAGCGAACGCCGGAATGTGTTCGCTGACCTCCCGATCTACTGAGCCAACCTGTGACAGTCTCATTGTCACAGGTCGGCTAGAACTATGAGGTGAGTGAAAAGCACTCACCTCAGAGTTCTCCTTTAAACTGTATGCAGTACATCTTTTCAACGCATGCACATTTCTCTGTTCTGTCCCTTTAAAATCACTTCAACTCCAGAAAAATGGCTGCTGATCTTCCAGCAATCCAGTGAGCACCAAGCACCTGGCTTCATTATAGAGGACTCAGGTGGTGAAACTTGCCAGTGCTGTTGGTGTTGGAGAGATCTGTGGCGGTGCGCATACTGAATTATGATTTTACCCACGTTGGTTTCTGTGCAGCTGATTTCTGGAGATTAGTCTGAAAAGTAAAGCGCACACTACAGCCCGCCCCCAGCGTACGGTATGGACTGCAGCCGGAGATGGAACTGGAGCGGTCAGTCGGAGTTCTTTGTCAGTTTCAAATTAAGTTAGAGAAAATTGGGAGTTCGTTTTGTTAATGAAAGGGTACCAACAAATGTGTCCACGCCTGTAGCTGCAGAGGGGAATGAGGGTGGGATTTATGGTTTTGAAGGTGAAATGAGAGGAAAATATTCTTCACCCCAGCAGAGGGGGAACTCATGCTGCTTCAGAGTATGCAAATAATCCCACGTGCCTGGTCTAGACAGGTCCACTTTACACTGATACCAGTGAGTGGAGAGGGTAGGTGGCTGTCGTCATACAGTCCTGTAATGGATACAATGGGGCTTATACGGTAAGGCAACCAAGAAAGGACTGTTGCAGAGAGAACACCAGTATACTTATTGAACTGGGAAAACCTGCACTCACTGGCTGAATAGCTTTCCTGAATCTATAACAAAAAAAAATCTTCAGCTCAAGCAAAATAAAATCAAATCAAATCCTAGAAGGGAAGGGTTGTCCATTCTCCTGGAGGACATGAAGCAAAACTGAACAGGACTGGTGTAGAAGGTGGTCTATATAGAGGCTGGGTGGGCTTTATGCACCTAGTGTCCACACTCCCTGTAGGCAGCAGCATAACCCTAGGTTGCTTACTATGAAGCTGTGTCCCTCAATGGACGATAGAGAAAAGAAAGAATCTGTATAAAAGGGAATGATGGCTGAAAGCGAGATAAAGGCACAAAGCAAGACTGAGCACACAGGAGCCAGCACAAGACATGTCCTTCCAGCCACCCAATGCACAGATGGGGGGGAATAAAAGTCATAATAAAAAGTGGCTTTGTAACCTAGAACAGGTTTCTGCAATCACAACGCTTCATCAGTCCGTGTTTTTCCGGAGCAGTCTTGTGGTTATACAGTCCTCATTCTCCCAGACGGGGGTAAGGGCAGGGCAGGGAAGTCATCTGGAAGCAGAGCGTGCTCTCGGCAGGTTGGACACGTGCTCTGTGTGTTCAGCCACGTCTTAATACACTGCAAAGACAGACAGCACTCATCATTGTGATTGCGTTTTATTTCTTTTAAAATGATATATTCCGCTTAATCTGCACAATCTTAATGGCTGCTGAAGCAGAACTCCAGCCAAAAACAAGATAAAAAACAATCGCCGCCCCTAGGCAGTGCTTTTGTTTTTGCAACCTAGTGTCCTATTCCTGAAGGTGACGCTATAACCAAATAGTCAAGATCTAAAGATCCCCGCTGTGTCCTTCAATGAACGTAACTGAAAGATAAATCCCAAAACCAGCTTTTGCTGCAATGTTCAGTTTCCATCGGAGGGATTTCACCAGCAATACTTTTTTTTCTGCTGCTAGATGTCCTCCGTCTGATGGCCAGCACAATTCAACCCATTTACTCTGAGCCCAGGTTGTTCTCAAGGAGAAGCAGTACAGTTATGAGCTCATTTCCTTGTCACTCTGCTTCCTCCTTCTATTAGCATGCTACTTGTCAGCATATGAACTGATTCGGCTCCTTGTACTACTGCTTCTTCCCCTCACACTCCCGCTCTGCTGTACCAGGGCTACAAGGGGCTGATACAAGGTCATACTTACCTGTCCCACCGCTGATCTTCATTCTGCTGAAGACCTAACGCTGCCTGAAGAATCTTCTGCAAATGCCTCGTCCCCCTCTGCAATCTTCTATGTCACCACAGGATAGAGTAGTGACCATATGGGCCAGTGACGGAACCACAGTGTCCAGGGGACCAGGTATTTCACACACCAGGAAGTGTGCTGGATGGAGAAGATCCTTTGTCAGTTTACCATCCATATTCATTCTCTATCACTGACAGTCACTTCAGCTGCACATTACCACATTTAGGGCCCGGTCCCATTCGATCCTGCTGCTGGCGACAAATTGCCATCGACCAGAAAACTGCTTACCTGTTCAAACTGCGTCGGTCCCACACTGACCAACCCAGCGAGGAGTTACTGTGTTGCTGCTCCCAATCTGAGATTGTGCAGCTTTTCAGCCAGAGGGAGCGACACGGAAGGAGCAGATGAACGGTCTCTTAACCATCACTGAGTGACATCATTCTTGAATACTAATATAATATCACTGATTATGGGAAGAGGGAGGTGAGCTGATATGCTGATATCTAAAACACCGGACTAACCAATGACAGGTAAGGCAACCACAGCTTGCTTCAACCAAGTTATGGATTCATGATTTTGTCATTCCAAATAATGTAGCAAAATAAAATCCAGTCACATGATCTTCTCAGAATCCTAATTGGGTAAACAAAATGACACTTACATGCATGTGGAAGCAGTGGCCACAGTCCAGCCTGTGCATGGGGTATTGCTTCAGCTCATCGTGACAGATTATACAGGGGTCTTCACTGCAGGACTGTGGCAGAGGAAATACAAAACGTAAAACAGTATAAATCAACAGTATCACACATCGAATCTGCAGAATGATATCCAAGAAACAGGAACTTTAATTAAAAAAACTTCTCTGGCCAGCTGTCACATTTTTATTATTATTATTTAGGATTTATTTAGTGCCAGTTTGCGCAGCGCTTTACAATATAAGGAAGACATTACAATACAAATCAAGACAAGATGGTAAGGAGGGCCGTGCCCCTGAGGGCTTACAATCTAAGAGGGAGGGGCAAGTGATGCATGAGGAGGTAGCTGTGCGGGGATCATTGTTTGAGAAAGTGATTGTTCCGTGGTTATACATTCTCTGGCTTTAGGTTAGGCCGTCTTTTGAGATCCTGACAGACAGCCCCTCATCGTGCGACTCACTGAATCCCTTTCACAAGTGTCTGGGTAGCTTGCCAGTCGGGGGGGGAACCAGTCAAAAGTAAAATGTTTGGTCAGCCGCACCATGAAACTGTTGTAAAGGAACATGACCCTGCTTTGAAGGGCACATTAAGAGACCCTGTCACCAATCTTTAAACTATCCAATTTTTCTTTCTCTGCCTTAACTTGCAACTTTTTTATTTAATGATTAGTTCCAACATTTATGTCCTTTCCATAGACAATGTTTTTAATTAATTTGCTAGAAAATGTGACTATTGTAGAAAGTGTCAATTCCTGATCACATCCCCTCCCTCATTGCACATCGTAGCCCTCTTCTGGGAGTGTCTAATTACTAGACATGGGCATGGCAAAAAAAATGTGTTTTCTGACAAAACAAATTAAAACAAAAAACGGTTTCATTCATTTCTTCAAAGAAAACTAATTTTTCTGCTGTTTCGGAGGCAACGAGCCTCCAAATCCACACACTGAAAATCCAGACCCACTGAAAGATGGCGGCGCGCAAGTGCAGAACGTGCTGCTGGCCGATATGGCCGCCGCTCGTTCAGGGTGTGACATCACACTGGAAATGCAGAACAAGCGGCGGCCATGTCGGCCGCCGGTGCATTCTGTGCTTGCGCGCGCCATCTTTGAGTGCATCTTGGTGCATACCAAGATATACTCAAAGATGGCGGCGCGTATGCGCAGAACATGCCGGTGGCTTATATGGCCACTGCCCGTTCTGCAAACAAATCTATGTATGGCCAAATATAGTTTTTGTATTTTCGGGCATATAATAAATTCGTTATTTCGGATTCAAACGAACCGCCGAATGAACTGAACTTCGTTGATTTGCAGGTTCGTCCGAATCCACATGTCTACTAATTACGGTCTATTCTGAGCCATCTCCTCCACCTCTTACCTCCCTTCATAACCTTCTATGTAGCGGTTGTGGGAAGGAGCAAAGAGAAATTCTATAGAGTGTCACTTGTGTGACAGCTCAGAGTCTGCCGAGGCCGTTGACATCACATCCAGCAGCATTCTCCGGGCTTTTCAATGTCTACACAAGGTAGGCTACATTAAATTCACAAATAAACTTATGGAAAAATGAATGTTCCAATGAATGGTCTGGCGACACGGTCTCCGATAATACAGTAAAATAATTTTAAAGTCTCACGGAACCCCTGCTACAGCAAATTTATTGGGAGTCAGTAGGAAGAATGCCCCTCACATTGGTGGTCAGAGGGAAGAATGCCCCTCACATTGGTGGTCAGAGGGAAGAATGTCCCTCACATTGGTGGTCAGAGGGAAGAATGCCCCTCACATTGGTGGTCAGTGGGAAGAATGTCCTTACATTGGTGGTCAGTAGGAAGAATCTCCCTCACATTGGTGGTCAGAGGGAAGAATGCCCCTCACATCGGTGGTCAGTGGGAAGAATGCCCCTCACATTGGTGGTCAGTGGGAAGAATGCCCATCACATTGGTGGTCAGAGGGAAGAATGCTCCTCACATCGGTGGTCAGTGGGAAGAATGCCCCTCGCATTGGTGGTCAGTGGGAAGAATGCTCCTCACATCGGTGGTCAGTGGGAAGAATGCCCCTCGCATTGGTGGTCAGTGGGAAGAATGCCCCTCACATTGGTGGTCAGTGGGAAGAATGTCCTCCTTACAGAGAGCAAAAGAAGATCTTTGGTGTTATGCTGCTGGCTCTGCCAAGGGGCAATGGACCTGAAACTATATAGGAGCCATCAGATGGGAGGTCAATCAGCAGCAGCCCATAGCAACTACTGGGGGAACCCTGGTTATGAATGGCTGGGCTAATTTAAAAGTAGTGGTTTTACAGAGGAGTACTTTTGTCCTAAACTACTCCTGAAAAATAGCAGTGCACTTTGTGGCATGTGAGTGTGCCTAGGCACTCCTATACCTCCAGCCTCATAGCTGTATATCTGCAGTGTCAGATCTAAGGCCCTGCTGACTGCTAACCCTATGAGATTTGGGGTGATATTTGAGCAGCACAGTGGTGTAAGACCCACTGTTCTCTTTGCGGAGGGCTGTGACATGAGGAAACAAAAGATGTCCCTACCAAGATGGCCACCTTCACACAGTGCAGAAAAAGGCATGGTAAATCAGTAATGGGGGAATGATGAGCTGTAGGGAGGCCACCAGCAAACTTGGTGACTAGTCTTTTGCCCTCCACTTGTCTTTTTTGGGGGCACAGCTTCCCGAGTCAAGTTCCTCTTTAAGCTATTTTCTTGTATTCTTTACACAAATGCAAGTCTATACCTCCAAATCATTTGGCTTCTGCCACTTGTTCTTGGCTCCCGAGTTGACCACTTTCCATGGCTGCTTTGGCTGGGGTGAGAATGGCTGAGGCATGGCCGGTCCTGCTTTAAATACGGCCGCAGTCTATATAAAAGAAGACAACTAAATAAGCAGATGACACCAGCAAATACAAGAGAATGAGAATGCCAGTGACGGCCAAGATTACGCAGTAGAAGAAAGTTAAATACCAGAAATTGGACTACTCACTGCTGTGTTCTTGGCTTGGAAGTCCAATATATATTCCGTGACCCGGCTAATGATATCTTCATGTGTGAGCCCAGAAAGAGTCCCATTATTTCGAACTCGAAAGTCCTTAATGAAGGCGGTGAGTTCGGCACTGCATGGAGAAAAACAAAATCAGCAAGGGGGGGGTCTCATTATTTTTACTCTGACATATTTATTGTATGTGAGTGGCCTGCAACTAGTGGCTTGGGAGTCATATGCAGATCTCAGATCCCCCGTCTGTCTGACTTACCAGCAGCCTCTCAGACATGTGCTCATTATGTCTAACTGCCTGAACAATGTCCAATGTCTTCAATTCCTTATTTTCTGAAGTAGTAAGCTGCCAAACAAGGGGGGGAATTTATCAAAACTGGAGCAGTCAGAATCTGGAGCAGTTGCCTATAGCAACCAATCAGCACCTCTCTTCAGTTTGCTCAGGTAAGATTTGAAAATGAGACAGAGAAGCTGATTGGGTGCAGTGCAAATCTGCTCCAGATTTTGTCTGCTCCAGTTTTGATCAATTCCCCTCCATAGGTTTCATGTTCCTGTCACGGGCAAAAAAATTACAAGTTGCAACCAAGGTGCCAGAATCATTTTGAAATTCAGCATGCGTGGCACTCAAACATAATTCCTACCAATGCATCCCTTCTGTTTCATCTGAGTCCAGCATGTCTGCTCTATCCAAAATGTGAACAGTTTTGGTTGGAGGACCAAAAGAATATCTAGAGTGATTGTTTGGGATGGAGTAGGGAATGGTAACAAACCAACAGTTTTTTGTGTGTCCTGTTTGGGGAGATTTCTTTGCCTTTCCCAGACTGAATAGGAAGGAGAAATCTCTCCAACGTCAGACAGCTGTCATCAGAACAGGCGTCCTCATTGAGAAATTCACCCTTTGTTAGGGTGACCACTGTAAAAAGTTGGATTTCCCATCACGTTCTGGCTTAGAAATAGAGGACGAATCTCTCCAGTGGTGACACATACAGCAATTGGCTACAGTCCATGTACCCATTGCACTCCTGACCGCTCATCCATTGAAGATAAGTTGGGTGCATCGGCAGTCGACGGATGGCCACCGTCCAGTAATATAGAAAAATATTGACACCAGCACTCCAAAGATAGAATACGTCTATTTAATGACGTGCATGCAAAACATACTTATTGCAACGTTTCGGGATCACGTAGGATCCCCTTTATCAGGCAGAACAAGTCATACAGCAATTGAACACCGACAGACCCTTCCACACTCTATCCAAAACTCAAATAAGCTTTGATATAATTTCTCATTTAGTTATCCTGCCCCCTAGTGGACAATGTGGGTACTTAATGTCCAAAAAGATACCATTTGTGCGCCCTTCCCCTGCACTTACTTCTTATAATGAGGGAAGATATCATGAAGCTCGTGGATGATCTTATCAAACAATGTGGGCTTGGCAGGAGACTGCAGTGTCGGTTCCGGCTTCCAGGGTGATCCTTTGTCTTGGCCGGCTGCCCACTGATTAATTGAAGGTACAGGGGGCGGGTTCTTAGATTTAGTACTCAATTCAGGATGCGCGGCAGCCTTCTTCGCTTCTTTAGCTTGGACCTTTTTACTAGCGGCAGCCTCCTTCTTCTGAGATTTGGTAGGGGTGGGATTAGCAGGTTTACCAGGCACAAGGCTTGGAGAGGGACTACTCGGGGTTTGAGATAGGTTTGGTGATGGCTGAATCTGTAGCTCCTGAAAAATAGAAACCTCACTTTAAAAAAGAACTCCAATCTAATTAAACAAAAATATATCAAGCTGCACAAGTAGATTTCTGAAGGCTTAGGTATGAAGGCTTAGGTAAAAGCTACATTTTGCAACCAACCTTAAGTGGCAGGAAGATCAGATCACATAGACAGCACAATTATTCAAAGAGAGACACGTCCCCTCCATCTCAAAACTGACTCGCAATACTACACAAATGATGTTATATAATATTGTTCAAATAAGAAAAAAAATTATATAAAAAACTTTCCGTAAAGTGACATTAAAGGCTAAAGTGCCCTCCCCCCACACTGCTAATGTAAGGACTTACCTTAAATGATGTCTCTTCATCTGATTTTCTTTCCTGTAGTTTTCAGCTGTCCCTCCATTGCTGCTGCGGGTCTCCAATCCAGCGCTGACTCCTCCGTCCTCCTCTTGGCTCATGTCCCACGGTGTCTGTGCGGGTGCACGCTGCTCCATATACTTACCTTGTGTCTCTCCTCGTCTCCCGGCCAAACATCTGAACTGCACATGAGCCCTCCCCAAGAAAACTTTGCGGCCGCCTGAGAAATTTGCAGATGTTCAGACGGGAGCGCGCGGCGGAGACACAGACACAAGTTTTTTTGTTTTTTTTAATCGTTTTTGCATATTTCTACTGCTCGCTAGCCATAGATATATGCAAAAAAAAAAAGGAGGGTTTAATAACCCATTAACTTAAAAAAAAGATCAAAATCCAATGAATAGAGAGGCTTCCACAATATTCTACAAATGCAGATGATGATGTACTCACGAAGGCGCTCGGTGGGCTTTGGACACTGACCACAGGAGTCTCGGAGATATTATTTAGCTTCAAACCACTTTTCACAGAGTTGATTCTCTCATCAAACTGAGCCTAGAAACACAAAATCACATTATTATATATCTCTCTGTTGTAACCTTAAGTAGAATTACGCTCACTGAAAAACTCAACTTGGAAATGTTCCATATTGTATTAATTCCTTAAACACACCGACATTCTCTTCTGCAGTGTTATTGACATTCTGCTTGCCAGTGCATGCGCACTGTATGCTCCATTCAATGCATGACCCTTGAGAGAACCATCACAACGAGCAGTCAGCTCTCAATCTATCTGGAAACGAAAATCACCAGCAAGAGCCTCTGGCCCTTGTGACGTCTCTGTCCAATAAATGGACATGTGGAATTATTTTGCTGAGTGCTGGTGATTTTCGTTTCCACATTGTATCTGCACGGTCCCATCCGTGACCATCACTGCGAGCACCATCTTCTGTATAGGCCCGGACTGCTGCAATGTGTGCGGAGAACTCCCCTACCTATCCAGCTCTCAATCTATGACTAGTGTCAAAGCCGATCATGTGCGCAGCATCATGGCAACTGCATATCTTTAAAGAGGCCAAAATGGTACCATCCTTGGCTGCGGAAGGATAAGAGGGTTCAGTTCTGCTTTAAGCCATACCACATTTCTGTCCACGCACAACCGTGTATGGAAAAATTCTTATAAATGTGAACCTGTTCATGATGGAACTCTTCAGTACAATGTGTAAAGTGAAGAGTTTTTTTTAAGATATGAACTAAGCCTCACCCATTCTTTTACTGCAAGGAAAGGAAGGAAATTCTAGTCTGAAAACAACATGTACAGCAAGCATTTATAAAGCTTTGAGGAGCTCTCATGAAGCCTTAAGCTGGCCATACACCTATAGATTATCTGCAGACTTTCTATGGTCAGATGGAAAAAGTGCAACAGATTCCTCCATCTACGTTACACTGTGTGGATGGAGGAATCTCCCGCTGGGCCAAGCTTCAGTACCTTGCTAGTTGGCCACGCTAGCTCTAAAAACACCTGAACAATGCCGGCATCCAATAAGAGTGTTCAGGTATTTTGACAGCCAGCGGGGCCGACTAGCAAGATGCTGAAGCTTGGCCCAGTGGGAGATTCCTCCATCCACACAGTTTAGCGTAGAAGGAGGAATCTGTTGCACTTTTTCCATCTGACCATAGAAAATCTGCAGATAATCTATAGGTGTATGGCCAGCTTTAGACACACTTCAGCTCCAGTCTGGGAAAGCTGAGAAGAGACCTGAAAGTGAACCTGTGCTCAGGTTAAAACAGCTAAAATGCACTGTAGGAGGAAGCATGTGGTCTGCTCTATTGGCAGAATTGACTTTCAGCTCCACAAGTCATTCAATAGGAGAAATGGTTTCCTGAACAATTAAGGAGCATTCTGACTCCTGAACAGCCATTGCCATCCCTCATTGCTGCAGTTCTCTTGCTGAACGTAAACATAAATCTCCAGATTTGGCCAGAAAAGGGGGAACAATAGTGACATTTTTTTCACAATTTGTAGATGTTGAGGCTTCCAGCGGCCCCCTCTAACGCTGTTGTTTGTCTTCAGATATACTTTACAGGGAGAGGACTGATTACTCCTGTACAGAAGGGCTTCAAAACCTTTATACTGCCATAGAGTTACAGGTACTCTTTTTGGCAAACAGGACAGGCTCACCATCAAGGCTGCAATGTCTCCTGCACAGCGCCAACACACTACAAGTGTAAACATACCCATCTTACCTGTAACGTTTCCATTTCCTTCTTTAGTTTTATCTGAAGAGACTCCATTTCCCGCAACTGCTGCACAATGTGAGGTGCTGGTTTACTGTGAATCAGAAAAAATATCAATGAGATCCACTGATGAGGAACAGGACAGAGATTGGTAGAGCAGAGGGGTGTAATGGAGGAACAGGACAGAGATTGGTAGAGCAGAGGGGTGTAATGGAGGAACAGGACAGAGATTGGATGAGCAGAGGGGTGTAATGGAGGAACAGGACAGAGATTGGTAGAGCAGAGGGGTGCAATGGAGGAACAGGACAGAGATTGGTAGAGCAGAGGGGTGTAATGGAAGAGAGATTCACAGGCAGTGGGAGAGGAGAGCATTTATTCTCTGCTTTGTGGACAATTTTATGTATCTTGCAGAATTGCTTTAAAGGAGAACTATGAGGTGAGTGATTTTTCACTCAGCCTCATAATCTGAGCCAACCCGTGACAATGGAACTGTCACAGGTCGGCTTAGCAGATCGTGAAGTGAGCGAACACATACCGTCGCTCGCTCAATTCTCGATCAATGCAGAGAGCCGTGACTGTCCCTCACGGCTCCCTGCAGGGATTCCCCTCTACGATCTGCCAGCGCTGACTGGCGGAACGGACGGGGAGGGGGCGGGCACAACTGGCTCTGCCTCTAGATAGGCAGAGCCAGCTGTCAATCCCGCAGCTGGGTGGATCCAGACAGCAATGTCGGGATCCGTTCCGGCTGTGGCGTCTCAGTATACCGCGAGCTACTGAGCTCTGGGTCACGGGAGGACGCTAGTTTGTGTTCTCCCATGACCCCTAGGAGAACTATGGGGAAAAGCCTTCCACCATAGTTCTCCTTTAGGTTTATAAATCCTGCAAGCTTTTACTGGCTCACTAGAAGACATTGCCTGGGGTTACCATCTTGTGTAACTCCCTGATATATTGGCCCCGTCAGCTTTGAAGTGTGAGCAATGTCCAGATGCCCAATGAAGTGCACCTAAACCCAAAACATTTAATCTATTGCAGCTTACCAGTCCTTAAACATGGTGGCAGCATAAGGCTCCATTCACACAAGTGCTAAGCAACAAAAAAAAGAATGCATTCCAATGTGCATTGTTTGGACTATTGAGGCATCTGTGTGGTACAAAACCGTGCGTCCCTCAAAATAGTCTGAACGTGTTTTTAAGGGCGGGTTACGCATGTTTGCGGCTATATTAATAGCCGCAAATGGACGCAAGCAAAAATTGCGCATTTTAGTGGCGCACGGTAAGCGCAAACGCCATAAGTGAATGGAGCCTTAGTTTCCTTTTTTCAGGTTCCTCCTCCTTTATTTTCACCTGAAGATCCTCTTAAGACGACACTTCTTGTCCCAGGATGACAATGCTCACTCTATGGAGGAGCAGTGTTGTCACCTTAAGCTGCTCTATTGATTTGGACTATAAGCAACTCCGCCCCTCCATTGCATTGTATTCTGTAGTTCACAGAAGATAGCTGTGAGAGCCAATAACAGTTTGAGATATCAGCTCAGTGCACGGGAAGTTGCAAAGATGCTGAAATTCTGGCAACACTTATTTTTCTGTACTTGGAAAACATTTTTTTTTAAAGGTTGTAGTAATCACATGGAAATACTGTTAAGCTGCAATATGGGACATTCTGCTCTTGGGTTTCGATATCCTTCAATCACATAACGGTTAGTGTTATAAACACATCAGTCCACAGCTTTGTGCTCTCACAAAAAAATCCCCAAATAAGGCAGAGACCTCATGAATACAGGATTAAACATTTTGATGTTCCGATCCACTGTGGCAGCTCTGATCCGCAGCTTCAATAGTTCACATTGCTTCCTGTTCTCCAGCACAATCACCTACAGAGCAGACACACAAACACACAATGAATGATCAGCAATGCCCGGAAGCGGGTAAAGGAGAATTTTGTTCACAGCAATCAGATTTGTCTTATTCACGCGGGACGTGTTGCACCGTACATCGTGCAGGGCCAGTGGTTGACTGAGCTGCGGGAAGCAACACGTGGGCAGCTCATGCAACTCCACAAAGAAGGAGGTGTGCGCCCTCACACGCTACGTCCCGCAGCTTCTGGCACATAGAAAACACTTACAGGGTTATTAAACCCTCAGCGGTTTTTGCATATATCTAGTGCTAGCAAGTAGTAGATATATGCAAAACGATAACAAGAAATATATATATATTTTACAAAGGGTTAATACTTACCTGCGTCTTCGCCCAGCGCTCCCGTCCAAACATCTGAAAATGTATCTGGCGGCCCCAAAGAATCTTGGGGCGGGCGCATGTGCAGTTCAGATGTTCAGGCGGGAGACGAGGAGAGACACAAGGTAAAGTCTATGAGAGAAGAGGAGGACGGAGGAGTCAGCGCTGGATCGGAGACCCGCACCAGCGCTGGAGGGACAGCTGAAAAGGACAGTAAGGGCTAGTTCACACAAAGAGTGGAGCAGGTGCAGAGCAGAGCTGGTGCAGACCGGATCAAAACTGCATCCAAAGTATTCCTATGGTATTTTTAGCTCCAGTTCACATTGCAGCGTGCAGTTCCAGAGCAGGTAAAAAAAACTACAGCTGGCCCTATTTTACCTGCTCTGGATCTGCAAACGCATCAAAAACGCATGCAAATGCCTGGAACGCACTGAAAGCCCATGTTAAACTATAAAAATAAATAAATATTTTTTTTAGCCAAAAACGCGTCAATTAAATGAACGGCATGAATCAGCGATCAGCTAGTTCTCACCTCGGCAGTGATAGCCCTCTGCTTGGTCTCGTCCCATTCCTCTTCACACTTCTTTATATGTTTCTCCAGCGTAGCTTTTTCTTTATCAAATTTGCTGTAACTAAAACCGCAGACATAAATTCGGTGATGGATGAAAGTTGGGGGCTACTGCACGCAGCTTAACAATACTAAAATTGATAATACAAATACACACGAGGATTATATAACCAAGCAGCAACTGTTGGTGAATTCGATCAGAGTTTACATTTCAGATGGGAGAACAGGTTGTAAAAGTGAACCTGTCATACACATTTGGGCAATTTAAACTGAGAATGCAAAAGGTAAAAACTACATTCATCTAAAAACCCCTTATATCTTCTTTTGTAGCCATTTTTTTGTTTCAATGCAAGTACAAGCCCCCTGGTGCTATAGAAGTAGGGATGCCCAGATACCAGTGCCGATACTTGGCATTTTCATGAGAACTACCAGGGTTGCAGAGGTTGCAGCTGGCACCTGGCTCTGGCGCTCCACCACTGTCCTGAAATCATTAGTCTGTATTGTTTTAGAAAAACTGCCACATGACAATAAACAAAAATGTATCAGTACTTGTATCTGTGAGGACTTGGGCAAGTATCAGTACTTGTGTCTGTGAGGACTTGGAGAAGTATCAGTACTTGTACTTGCAAGAATGGCATTGGTGCGTCCCTAATATATGTTTATAAAAACAAAATCGTACATTATAACCGAGATTTACAAATCCCAGGAGCTCCGTGTGCTCCTTACAAATGACAGCTGCCTCCTAATTTTTGAGTTTTCTCTAGTCTAGTCCTGGAGCTGGAAAAGTATCTGTACTTGTACCGAGTACGGGACTTGGTATCGGTGTATACCTACATAAAAGTATTCACTGTTTACTGATAGTGCAACCAAGGTATAATCACCCATACACAGTCCTTTGCCTCAACCTGGTCCTTTTTTCTAACAAGCAGGGCTTGTTGGAGATGGAAAAGCGCATGGCCTCCCCTTAGCTGCCAATCGGGGTCACATGGGAAGGGGAAAACGAGTGCACCTGGGTAAGCTCCAATATCATATGCAAGGTGGACGATAGTTTGACAGCAATAAACAATATATAGGTATACAAGTAACAAGCAATGTAACTGCTTTAGGCAAACACATAATGGATATCTACAGTAGATTAACATTAAGAAGGATATAGTAGCATTATTTAGTTGAAATACAAAACATAGCGAGCGCCTCCATCGTGTAAAAACTTAATAAAACAGGATAAAAACAGCTGAAATGTTACTCACAAAAGTAGAGTTTTAGCAGACATACAAAATCATATGTGAAAGGCTTAGCCAGCCGGCTATTCGTTCTTCCTGGTTGACGCGTTTGAGGTCACGCCTCCATCAGAACCACCATGTTGACGCGTTTGAGGTCACGCCTCCATCAGAACCACCTTGGTTCTGATGGAGGCGTGACCTCAGAAACGCGTCAACCAGGAAGAACTGATAGCCGGCTGGCTAAGCCTTTCACATATGATTTTGTATGTCTGCTAAAACTCTACTTTTGTGAGTAACATTTCAGCTGTTTTTATCCTGTTTTATTAAAAAGTTTTTACACGATGGAGGCGCTCGCTGTGTTTTGTATTTCAGCTTTGAGGTTTCCCTAAACCAGCGAGAGCAGCCACGAAAGTGTATTACATTGACCATTGAAGATTATCTCCTTTGCTTTCATCCCCGATACATGCTGCTGGCGCTTGTGTTATATTTTGTTAGTATTATCTAGTGTTCAAAGTAAGTGTAGAACCACACGGGAAGTCCTAAACGTTCCCTCTGCCATACATGACCTTCTCATCAGGGACAATCTGGTTTATCAGCGATTTGCACTGGAATGTGCAAGGGCAGGAGAGGAGTTATTCCATCTAAGAGCTATGGCTTTACAGGTCATGAATAATATTTCCTGCGGGAATAGTCTTGTTGACCAAACAAGCAAATTGATAGTGGGCATGAAATGGGGAAATGTGGAAGGGAAGGAGGATGGTCCTCCTTCACTTGCTTCCAAAAATCAACTATGATTTGGCAGCTCCAGATGAGGTGCATAAAAATCAAAACATTCAACACAATGGGCTGAGGAGCGCAACTACCCTCCGGGAGTGTCGACAGCGTGAAACCGAACAAGTAGTGAGTGACTTACGGTTCGGATGTGAGCAGACGTGCCTGAGAATCTCCCGTGAGGTGGCGTCCGGGGTCTTTGTAGTCGGGTCCTTTGGGCCAATGGTGGAAGATGGATGGCTGCCGGACCGGAGTGTAAGCCATCCATCTTCACTACTTGTTCGGTTTCTTGCTGCTAGCTACATTCGGGCTGTCGGCACTCCCGGAGGGTAGTTGTGCTCCTCAGCCCATTGTGTTGATTTTTGTTATTTACAGGGTTCCTCTCCCTGTGTTGTGGAGCTTTGCACACCGACGTTCAGTGTTCACATTTCATCAGCGTGACCCCTAAACAGTAGTGCGCTTCTGTATTTGTTGTTTTTTATCCAGTGCATAAAATCACGTTGAGCTTGGGTACAATGTATACAGTTATGTGTGGTCATACGTTCCATTCTGTGTTAACATACTGGAGAGGAGTTGCATGGTGAACTTTCGCACCAGGGAGGTGGCAAGGGAGGTTGGATTGTTGAGAATACCTTACACGAATGAAAGGTCCATCAGGAGGCACTGCAGCCCAGCACAGGCAAAGTGATGCCATCTCTGGGTATTTCTGTTACAGGAAGTAACAATCCTTACTGTAAAGTTTGCATTAAAAACAAAAAACCCAAACAAACAATTCTGATGGTCGAGGTGAAGAGATCAATCAGCTACTATGTATGACTTGGCCACCTTTGCAATTACCATAGATAGATGAACTGATAGTAAAACGTTTTCCCACCATCGTAGAGGCCGTCTTAAACACACCCATAGATCTCCAGATCAGACAGCCTGCTTGCCACGCTCAGAAATCATTTGTCAAGAGTTTAGTGGGAGGTAAAAACATGGATACAGTCCATGAACCCATCGCACTCAAAACCGCTGTTCCATATAAACCATGGGTGCTGCAGCAGTCGACAGATGGCAACCTTCTATAATCACAGAACAACACAGACCCCAGCACGCCAAATAATGAATCAATGGCGTCTGTTTATTGACGCGCGAGACATAGCACGATGCATCAAGCGTTTCGGGGTCTCGCAAGATCCCCTTCATTGGGCAACCCTGAACATTGCCTTTTGATGCATTGTGCTATGTCTCATGCGTCAATAAACAGACGCCATTGATTGGAGTGCCGGTGTCTATGTTATTCTTAGGTAAAAACATGGAACACATGACACAAATACACTTACTGTATCTTAGCAAAATCCTTTATATATGCCTCATACTGCTTTTTCTTCTCTTCGATGCTTCTAGAACACCTGCAAGAGAGAAACAAAGATAATCATATTGAGTATAAAACTTCAGGCACACATGAAGAAAGAACCCAAAACAAAAACTGATGTGTGAAAATGGCAAACCGCAGAGAGAGAAACAAAAGATTAGAAAAAAAATTGCCATTCGGCTGGAGCGAGGTTGCAGAGGTCAGCGTCCATACAATGAGAAATGATAGTGCACTTGTAGTGTTATCACTGGAACATGTGGTAGTCTGACACCAAATCTTTCTAACATTGGCTCTACAATGAATTTTCTTCACTGTTTCTGTACCCCCGGACACGTTTCAAAACCAGACCTATACTGAAGAAATCTGAATATTTTTAGCAGCTCTAGAATATCACGGACGGATGTGGTTTGCCATGGAAAAGGGATTTTAGGGCAACACCGTTTCAAAACAAGGTTAATGTAGCAGCTTTATCACGTTTGGGTATTTTGTTCATTACATCTATATTTTCAGTAAAATTATATGCAGTTTTTTTGTTGTAAAAGACACAAAATAGTCTCCATTTCCATGAAATACATAAAATCAATTAGGGAAATAAAAAAATTACCAAATATATCCAACCCCAAAAAAACTACAATACCTAAAATGTAAGTAGTCCACAAACCCCCCCCCCACCCACACAACACAATGTCCCAC